TCACTGCCAACAAACTCCAGCTCTCATTTGGCTGGGAACCCTAATCTCTAATCCCAGCCTGACCTTAACCTGTCTCTGGCAGGGCCGCCCAGAGGATTCAGGGGGCCTGGGGCAAAGCAATTTCAGGGGCCCCTTCCATAAAAAAAAGTTGCAATACTATAGTAAAATGTATTTGGAAATGTAAAAAATAACCAGTGAAATACATTCTAAAATTAATTGTTAATTTGAAAATACACAAAATACATTATTTAAAAACATTAAATGCTTTAATGGTATGTATACATTTGCAATTACATAATGGGCTGTCGCTGGGTGATGGTGATGGTTGGTGCCAATGGGCTATCATTGCCTGGGTGTGGCGCTGCTGTTGCCCAGGGCTGGGTGGGGAGCTGGGCTCTAGGTTGGGGGGTGCCCGGCCTAGAGGGACTGGGCTCAGAGCTGGGGGTCAGGGCTGTGAGGGGATGGGATCGGGGGGTGCCCGGCTCAGACGGGGTGGGCTCGGAGCTGGGGGTCAGGGCTGGGGTGGGTGGGGGGATGGGGTAGGAGGGTGCCTGGCTCAGAGGGGCTGGGCTCGGAGCTGGGGGTCAGGGCTGTGGGGGGGATGGGGTGGGGTCATGCCCGACTCAGAGGGGCTTACCCCCACCTCCCCCCTCTCCCAGAACCTCAGCGCACCGCGTCCAGGAGCAGCCCTGGACAGCGCTGCAGCGGCGTGGCTCTAGCGGGACCTCAGCTCCCCCAGCTCGGCCGGAGCTCACAGCCCCGCTCCCTTACCATGTGGCTCCGAGCGGGGAGGAGCTCAGGCTGCTCCTGGACGCGGCACGCTGAGGCGCAGGGGGATGGGGGAAGGTGGAGGCGGGGGGGAGCCTCCGACATTGTCGTGGGGGCCCCTGCGGAGCCCCTCTGGGCGCCTCTGGGCGGCCCGGTCTCTGGATTCAAACTGATCCAGGACAGCCTTGTCTGCCTTTGTGTTCTGTTTTCTATGTAGCCGATGAGAGCAGGGGACATTTGTTCCCATCTGTCTGCAGCACTTACTTGAGCGTCTGCGGCCGTATCTTCTTTCCCTGCTTGTGATCGGCGAGTGCACTTTCTATGTCCTCGTGGACCATCTCCGCCTCAAACATAAAACAGTGATCTCATAAAGGCTTTGCTTTGAATAAACTGGAGGATGTAGGTGGCATGATGGGGAAATAGCTGGCTGAGAATGTCATTGGCTACGTGCTCATATTGCATTGCAAGTCAACTCAGCACTTGGCAGTTTCACTGTGTAGTGCTTTCCCTGCCTCTGAGCAGCCAGTGTGAATACTGGTGCAGGTGAAAGGATCCAGTTCTCAAGCAGGAGGACTAGTTTCAAGTGACTAGCTATGAAGCAGCAGGATTTGGGCAGTCTTGGACATCGTATGTCCTAGGATTTCAGAAGGGAAGTGCCGGGCCGGCGGCTCGGGGTCCGGAGGCAAGGGGGGCTGCCCGAAGCCGGTAGCGCTGGCTCAGGCAGCTTGGCTCTTAAACAGAGCCAAAGTCTGAGAGGGGAGGAGCAGAGCAGCCGCGGGAGGGGAAGTGCCCGGAAGGTATTTTTCCCGGACATGTTCGGCTTTTTGGCAATTCCCTCCGGACGGGGGTTTGATTGCCGAAAAGCCGGACATGTCCGGGAAAAACCGGACGTATGGTAACCCTATTTCAGCCACTGGTGTCTGTGCAAACTGCTAGGGTAGTTACGTGCTTACGCTGGTGATTTGCACCTTTGATTTGGAATTGGGATACAAATCGTATTGCCCTAGGGTAAACTGAGCTTACACTAGGGGTTTGTATTAGTAAGGCACTGCTGCTGCTCATTGGCAGCTGCAGTCTCAGTGGGGCTGAAATCTCAGCATAGATAAGGAGAGAGCTTCCTGGCTGTACTCCTGACTGTGTGCCTGATGACAAAGCTACACAACCGCATACTGGCTCTCTGGAAGAGGGAGAGATAGGATTGCAAGAGGCAACTGAGGGTCCAAAATGGACCGGGGTGCAGGGAAAACCTCTCCCAGTAATTCCAGATATATTGACATAATTCTCCTGCGTTCCAGTTGCACTGACTTCAGTGGATCTGCACCAATTTACACTGCTATGACTGAGAAGGGGATCTCCAGCAGCAGTAAATGACAGGCCAGGCATTGCAGTTAAGGCAGGCAGAATGCTCTCCAGTCCTACCAGCTAAAAGGAGTGATGGGAAGCATTGCTGCTGTAATTTGTACTCTGATGAAATGTCTCTGCTCTTAGTCTGTTAGACAGGGTGGAATGAAAGGCAATGATCAGTACAAACTACCCTTGCATGACAACATTCATTGCTCTGCACACTCTGCACCCTTACTTGAGCCAGCTTAGGATAAGCTCATGCAGACTGTGCGTCTGTGCATCCAGTCTGCATTCGCTCCCGTACATGGAGGCTTGCACCGTCATTTGCACACCGTTCTGGTTTGGTTTTTTCTCTTGACGTGCCCAAGCAGGGGGAAGGTTTGAAAATCTAGCCCCAAGCAGCAGTGACTTCTCCCACCCAGAGCTCCTCTCGCTTTCCCTCCCTGCTCACCTCCACCTCGTCGCAGTTGAAGAAGTGGATATCGGGCTTGTGCTGCTCGGAGTCCTGGCACACCAGCAGGAGGATGGAGGTGTAGCGCATCTGATTCAGCACGGTTTGGCAGAGCTGGACCGTCGGCAGGGGAAATTCCTCCAGCTCGTCCTGTAAGCCAACGGGCAGGGCATCATGCAAATGGGAGTGGTGTTAAAATAACGCCTCGCCATCCCCGGCATTGCCTCACGCAGTCACTGATGCAGGGAAGAGGAGACCTCACAGGGCAGGTGCCTCCCGGCAGTCCATGTCCCCGCAGTTCTGTGTCTGATACTGAAGACAGTTCTGTCAGTGTTTGGGGAAGACAAATGAGCCTGGGAACTAGGGACCAACTAGGAGGAGGTGGAGTTTCCCACCTTGCTTTCTGGGGATGGGGTACCAGAGCACAGGCTGCTTCTTGGACTTGCAACACAGAACATTGATATTGGTGCTACAGAGGTCACCCCGTTGCTGTGCTCCACCTTCAGCAGTGAACTAGCAGTGTTGGGCTTGCGTTAACACAGGCAAACGGGGTGGGTTGGGAGCTCCGAGAGGAAGGATGCTGTTGTGGTTAAGGCACCGGACAGGTCTCAGGACAGATAGGCTCTATTCTTGGCTTTGCCACACGCTCCCTGGGTAACCTTGGGCAAGTGTGTCCATGCCTCAGTTCCCTGTTATTAAATTGGGGATAATGAGACTTTCCTCCCACGCTTTGGCTTGGCTATTTAGCTTGTACACCCTTTGGGGCAGGAAGTGTGTGTGTGTGTGTGCATTCACATGCACACTAGGGCATCAGTCTCGGTGGGGGCTCCTAGAGCTACAGAAATACAAATCATTAACAATGATGAATTCCACCCAAACCGTTTTGTGGACTCCTAACTGGACACATCAGTCTCCATTAGCCTATCACTTCCACCGAGGTCTGACTTATCATTCACCCATGAGCGTAGCAGCAAGGAGCTGAGAGTTTGATTAATTAGTTCAGTCCCACCTTGCTGTGCACTCAAACTCTAGAGGAACCCTTCTGTCCTATAGGTTAAAATCAGCCAGCCCTTTTGCGGTTTTTTGTATCAATTCTTCCCAGTTTAGTAGCCCCAGAAAAGCATGTTACCCCTCCCCAGCCAGCTGGAAAGTGGCATACTTTTGAATGCAGTCTATTGCCCGTTTTGCATCTTGCCATGGAGGAGAAAGCTCCCGACCTACCTGTGACTCGCAGTCTAGGAGTCGGATGGACTTGTCATTCACTTGCAACAGCATCTCCTGGGCCCAGATCTTCTCTTTAGAGTTGAGCTGCATCAGTTTCCTGATGGCGTCGTCCACTGTCACAATGGCTTCACTCTTATCCATGATGAATGTGGCTAAGTGCTGCGGGGGCAGCGGGGAGAACACACACAGGCTAATAAGAGTGAGGGTGACCTCAAGTCAGCTTAGCTCTGCAGAGCTGTTAATGAGCCATGTCTGTCCTACACCCGCTCACTATAGCACTTTGTCCCCCTTCAGTAGGGGCTGGGCTGCATAGAGAAGTCGATGAGCCTGCTACGGTCTTGGCTAAGAAGCGGATGGTTTTTTAGCTCAGGCAGTAGAGACTTATGTGCTAAGATCCAGAGGTTTCAGGTTCAATCCTGGTTACTGACAACCCAGCGGGGCACTGTGTTACACACACTTCGGAGGGTGCACGCTCACATAGGCTGCAGGAGAGATTTACAGTATATCTTGTAAATTTAAGTTTGGGCTAGATTATGTAGACTCCTCACAGCCTGCAGCAATTCACATGAGAAACAGTCACATGGTGCTGTCAGGTGACTGCCTGTTCTGTATTATGAACCATCATTATGTCAGTGCCAGTACCTACTGGATTCCTGAGGAAAGCATTGACACATGATAGGATTTCACAGCACAGAAAGGGCATGTCTACATGGGAACGCTCCGGAAAAGTTACGCCACATTAATTGAAGGCTGTAATGTAAAGTTAAAGCATACGTTCAGTTAATTTGACTTAACTTTTTTGAGTGTCCCCATGTAGGCATGCCCTAAATTCCATCACTTGCAGATTTAGCAGGACATGTTTTAACTCTAGCAACTAAGGTGCCAATCCAGCAAAGCACTTAAGCACGTGTTTCGCTTTAAGTACGTGACTAGTCACATTGTTTTCCTGGACTGCTCATGTGCTCAATGTTCAGCTCGTGCTTAAGTGCTCTGCTGGATTAGGT